TAGATCCACAGTTCCAAGTATCCGCATTGTTGCATCTTATTAGAGAGAAATGCATTATACGACAGACAATAGGCATAAGGCATCATAACACAGAAGTCAGCCAAAAAAGTAGAGCAGTGAAGACGATACTCACAGTACGACAGGGACTACAGTAAGAAACTTTCTATTGCGTGTGAGCTGTTTGCCATTGTCTATCTGTTCCCACCATGTCAACCTGTTGTAAATACCCTGGTCATCCGCGAAAGGTGTTCCCTTCTTCCAGTGAAAGAAGTGATATGTAATCTGCAAGAAAGACCAAACAAAAGTAGTGAAAATCTAAAAGAAATGAGAATTAAATATTGCCTCCTTCCATAAGAATCATAAGATCACATATTTCAAAGATAGGGTGAACTGCACATTACCAGACATATTAAAGGAAGAGATTAGTGGATAAGGCATACATGCAACAATAAAATATAAGTACTCTGTGATTTGCGAGAGCCGGGAATTCAAGTAACCAATGAATCCCCTTTTTCGTCATCAGAATAAATCAACCAACTATTTAGAGCACAGATATGGAACTGTTTCAGTTCTATTTCAGAGACCAGATGTCTATGTTGAATCACAAGGTGCCAGAATAGGTTTTACAATATAGTACGCCGTAATCAGAAAAAAAATCAAATCCACGCCCTTCAATCTCGAGCCTCCAAACCTTGATTCGAAAATTCAATTCTTAAAAGAAATACATAGCTACTGAAACCATGGAGCACAAACACATACAGGAAAATAAGCATTAAGAGAAAAGTAGATCAATTTAATCGTCAATCTTCTGGTAATCATACAATATTTGTTAAACCGTCTATTATTGATGCACTTACGATGAAATGAGAGAGGTGGACAATTGTCCAGGCCATGCCAGGAGAGCAGCCGAAGACGGAGAGGACGACTAGCCATGAGAAGAAAAGGATGAGGATGTAGGTGGACCACACCCCCGGATACGTGAACCACTCCGTATTTCGATTCAGATCCGTCGGCGGCGACGCCTTCACGTACAAATTCGGCATCGAAATCAAGGTTGCAAGAACGCAGATAGAAATTGGAAGATCCGAATCTGAAGATCGAAGCACTTGGATCGGAGTGCTAACCCCTAATCAAAGAGGGAGTGTGTGTTATGCAAAAATGAAGGTGAATTAGCGATGATGATCGGCAAAATGAAAGACACATGTGAGCTTTTAGATAGATTAGAGGGGAAGGGATGAGAAGAGGCGGTGGGCTTGCAGCTTTGGAATCGCTTTGCGGGCAGAAACTCTTCCCCGCACTTTGGATTAACATGGACGGATCCTATTTAGACCTTGTTGTTTATCTCCTTTATTGGTCTTGTTTATTTTGATTTTTTTATCAAAATTTATAAGTTTTGACATCAAATTAAATACAAATGAAACAAGATATTTATATAAAAATGGTTTTATTATATTTATTATAATAAATATTTTCAAAATATTATTTTATCTAATTAATATACAATATATATTTTATTTATTTATAAGTCAAATGTTAAAAACAATTGATCAGAAAAAGTCAAAACTAGACAAATACTCAAAGACGGAGATAGTATGTGATTATTGTTATACCTAAAAATGTTTCCTTTTTTATCTGATCTAATTTCAATAAAAGTAAATAATACTCCTAGACATGTCAAATAAATAGGTTAAGTCTAGTTCAGGTTTGATCACTCTGAATTTAATTCATATCGAATTCAGGTAAGTTTGATTTAAGGTTGAAATTACATGTTCATGGCTTTATATTGTCGGTTCGGATTGATCTAATGAGTTGTGAGATTTATTATTATAATATTTAATTACGTAATATCACTTGCATATTGCACTAAAAATATAGAGTACTAAAATATCAAACATCTTAGGATGTTTTATTTTTATTTTTTTAATTACATTTTATATGTATTTAATAACATTCTGAATGCTATAAAAAATTAAATATGTAACACTTTTGATAAAAAAAATATAAAATAACTATGTGATATCGTTAAAAACTTATTTGAAAATATAATTTTATACACTAAAAATGAGTAATAAGAAAAAAAATACATAACCTCATTTTTACTACATTATTTCTCCAATTAAAATACATGATTTTGAAAAACTATTATGTGTTGGACATGAGTTCAAACCTCTTTAGATATTCTTTTGTGTTGTTATTTTTCATGTTTTGATAAATGACAATTACATCGACAACCAACTTATTCCTTACTTCAAGAAAGTAAAGAAACATATCAAGAAATACAAGTTGGTTAAACAACGTTCAATTCTTACGCATTTGTAGAAGTGAAGTTAAGATTTCTAAAGATTTTTTATTTATTTGAGTAGTAGGAAATTTAGTAAGGATGACAAAATATTTTTTTTATTCAAAATAAACTATTTTTGAGGGTAACAGATAAAAATATTTTTATTGATTCAGTTGAAAAGTAAAACTTTCTCTGTCCAAAAAAATCTCTTTTGAGTCAATTACAAAATGTGTGTCAAAATTTTCCTTAAACTTTTTTTTATATATAAAATTTTTTTGGTAAGAAAAATATCTTTTAAAATATTTTTTCTGTGTACATTCTTTGACAAACAAATTTTTTTTTTGAGACTCAATTCTTCACCCAAATTATCTATCTCATCATTCAAATGTATTTGAATTTATTTGCGATGATAGGGAGCCTATTGTACATGCCCTTTTGTTGGGAACAATAGGAAATTGACAAATGTACTTCATCATCTCGCTCTTGGTTGTGTTCTTGCTGTCTATGCATTATTCACGCTAACAATATCTTAATTCTAATGATGTAACAAAAATCCGGCAGCACTTTTTCATTATACAAATAGTCTTTTTTTACTTCATCCTAACTCATTTTTGAAATGTCAGCCTCACTAGTAAATGTATTTGATTTTCTTTTATCTATCGAAATTGCGACAACATTTTCCAATGGTTCTCCAGGTGCACGATGTAATATAGTCACATATGCACCTGAAAAACACATTTAAGAAACGTCAAACAAAAATGATAGAATAAAGAAAAAGAAATACATTCACTACCTAAATGAGAGAAACATTTCAAGAAGAACTCCAAACTAGAAGCTATTTAAAACTTACTCATAATGAGTAAATTTTAAACGTGTATCTAGGTCGGTCAATATATATATATGTTATTTCTATATTATAACATCTTTGATCATGTAGCATCAAACTAAAAGTAATTAAACAATCTATATTTCAAACACAATCTATATCATCATGTCACATTTTAACTAAAACATAAACACAAAATAATTCAAATATATAGTAATGAAAGAAAATACATTGAAATAAACTTTAAAACTATATTTATCAACATTGTGTACCGTCGGGCCGGGGGCGTCNCCCCCCCCCCCCCCCGAACCCCCCGACTCGCTGACTGGGCAGTGAGACCCCCGTACTCCCTGCTGTAACGGCTCAGATTCAAGGCATTACAACAAATATCCCTTTTGTATATACTACTGTACGTTTTCCATCAAAGTTTAACAAAGTATCGAAAAATGGAAAAATGTGGTAGGAATCTATTAAGAAGAAAAATTTGATGAGGCCATTTTTTTACTTAAAAAGAAATTGAATTTTTTTTCGAACAAATGGAAAAGAAAAGAATAATTTTTTTTATGGGACAAAGGTAGTACGTACGGAGTATCTCACAAAAATAACCTGAAAAAACTTTCCTTTCTCTAAAAAAAATCATCATGCAGGTCATGTTCGAGTGGCTGTATATTTTGCATTAGTTTTTGAATTTTCTTATTCTATAAAATTAGATTAGAATTTTCTCTTCTAATGTCTATATATATAGATATATCTTTCATTATTCGGTAAGACCAATTATTATCAAATTGTATCATATATTAAATGTCTATTATGATTTTTTAGGTACATTGAAAAATGAATGAATACAAAGACAAAGTATGTCTGTATTTATTTCTTTTTTAATATATCTAGAAAGTGTTATTAAACAATTAATATGGAATAGAGAAAATAGCTTTCTTTGGCATGGTTAATGTTGTATTGTTGTTAGAAGTTTATGTCATACGTATATATTCATTAAAGAAAAAGGAAGATTTAGTTGATTAATTGCCTCATTTAATTATATTTGCAATTAATAATTTATTGTAATCATGATTAATTAGCCTTAAGCACCACGCATGCTTTTTGTGGAAATTAAATTGGTGCATTTTATTATCTTTTGCACTATAAGGTTTTTATGAGAATATTCAAATATTGAGCATCTATGATGTCCCCAAACTATTCAAAACTCTACTTACAATTTTGGAAATGGCGGACGAAATGGAACTACTCTTTCAGGAAATGGGAAATGACACAATTTTGCCTGGAACTTTGTCTTCATTCCATGATCCAACTTGGTTTGATCATCTCTCACCAATCAGCAACTCCGTTTTCATGAGCCCGGCCGAAACCCATTGGAGTGGAGATCTTATGAACCGAAATCTCTTAACGGATATGATTCAATCCTTCCCAGATGAGATCAACAACGAGAACGAAATCGTATTCGACATCCATGAACTTGATGTTCTGTTGCAGCAGTCGCCTCCCAGTTCTCGGGGCTCTCCATTTTCAAACAACGTTTTAGATGATTGTTAAGTGACATCTTTCCTGGAAACTCTATCGCCTCAAATGGTGTCTCGTGGTTCTCCCCTTTCAAACACAGCCAAGAATCCCGTGGAGAGTCTGAGTATTAACAACTCATGTGATGATTTCGAAAGTTTGGTTGAATTGCTTCAAAAACCAATTGGTGTTTCGGGAGTAAGTGATCTTTCTTGGTGGGATTGTACTAATTCCACTTCGGGGTGGACCTCAGACCATTCGGTGGGCTCCGCAAACATCAGAGGATCGTCTAACGTGCCCGGAGGAGGTCTCAATTATGAGTTATCATCACCCACTAAAAGGAGGAGTATAGAGAGTCCTTTACCGGGGAGTAATACGATGAAGCCTTCTCGTTTTAGAAAAAAGACTAAACCAGGCTCTCGATCTGTTCCAAAGGACCGTATGTTGACATACGCATGCTATGCAGAGCTGAGAGAACTCATTCCCAATGGACATAAGGTAACCTCAATGAAAAAATCTTGGTTTTTGAAAAGTTTAATTGACAACCTTTAATAAACTTATGGCTTCTTTGGATGGCATGCAGATGAGCATTGATCGTTTGTTACATCGAACCATAAAACAGATGTATTTCTTGCGAAGTGTTGCAAAACATGCTAAGGGACTAGCAAAACATCAATTACTAAAGGTAAACTTTTTAAAAAAAATTAAAAAAATGAAGTTCGTTTCGTTAATATTATTTGGCTAGAACAGTTCAATAAAGTGTTGGGTAACATCTATTTTTGCATATTATAATATTACTGTGCTCATAAGCCAGATTAAGATACCAATCTGGTCTTTTTGGTGTATTGATCAATACTACTTCTTCATCTAATTTGGGCTTTAGGATAGGAAGGATCAGAAAGATCATTTCAAGAACATTATTAGTGGAGTCACGCGGGCTTGTGAAATTGAAAACGAAATGATGATTTGTCCGCTGGTGGTTGAGGACCTTAGTCATCCAGGTCAAATGCTTATCAGGGTGAGTTTTCATTTCTCATTACATTTCCAAATCTAAACCTTTATATATATTAAGTATTATTGCAGATTCTATTACAGGTTTTGGTGTCTTTTTGTTCCAGATTCTCTGTCAAGAACAAGGTTACTTTCTGGAGATAGTAGATATGATCCGAGGTTTCGGGTTAAATATATTGAAGGGGTGCATGGAAGTTCATGAGGCTAAGATACATGCACACTACATAGTTGAGGCTGAGGTAAATATATAATGATGCACAAAACCACATTTGTTTGTTGCCAATTCAACAACTTATAACAACTATACCAGACAGTCCTATAACCTGTGTTCAATTTGAACTGTTCTATCACATGTTAAAACAAATGTACACACGTGCAGGAAAACCAGTTCGTGTCGAGGCACGAGATCTTTTCCTCAATTGTCCACATTTTAGGGCTGGCAGACGCTAGTAATGAGTTCGGTGGAGATGATCTGCTGGGTAATGTGAGGCAGGGAGGGATTGGTTTGTTGAATGATTCTGTCCAATCTACATGTGGTGCTCCCACAAGTTTGCCCAATAGAGTGCCATGTATGACCATATTGTAGTGTTGATTGAATGAGAAGGACCTATGCTTTTCTTAAAAGCTGTGTTATTGTGTAGTTATACTTGAGCTACTTGTGCAGTATAGAAGGGAATAAAGGATGAGATGCTCTAATGTTATAATATAAACATATTTGTTGAATCTATCAACTACACAAAATAGCACATAAAATAACTTCCTTATCCCTAGATTTTGATAGACTCTTTATGTAAAATCCATAAAAACATGCCTCAAAACTTCATTAGGCACTTGTAAGGGTTGTAGCAACTCATGATAAGGACAAATGTCATATTTGTAACTTTGATGAAATGTCTAGTGTATCATGTGGTGTTGTACATCTTTATTTAGCCCTTACTATATGAATGAAGTACATTTTATGTTATATCCCGAGCGCTACATTCATCCTTGAGTATTCATCTAATTTGAATTTTTTAATCAAACAAGGTAGATAAACTTTAATCATCAATTCAATACAAATTACACACACACACACACACATATATCAGTACAAAAATATTTTAAATTGATTTATCATGTGGAAAAATTTTAGAAATTTAGTGCATTGTATTATTAATATATAACAAAATTAGAAGTATCTATTACTTTAAAAATTTTAGCATTTTAACTTTTAATATTCTCAATGAGTATTAGATTGTGGCATTTGTTGGTTTTTGTTAGATCCTTCTGTTATAACTGAGGTAAGAGATACTTTTATGCATAGAAAATTGTTTGTGTAGAAAATGTTCCAATATTTTCATCTCATGGATGACTTCAAAGCTTTCAGGTGCTCACCTTAAGAGTCGCTCAAGCAAACGACAGTATGACTGACATTGGAACCCTTTAGTAACTCTCCTTTAAGACCTTGGAACAATGTCGTGAACACATTATTTCCTTTTTGTTTCCTTTGTCTTATAGGCAAGACCGAAGCTCAATCTATGGTGTATAGGAATGATGTCAACCATATAAATGTGAATACCAAATTTATCCAAGCCGGTTACCTCAAGGACCTTCAAACACTTCTTTGGTTGTCTCAAGCCTAGTTAGTTAATACGCGTATAATACACGTATTATACTTATGTACGTATAATACGCGTATTATACTCACGTATCTGTATGATTTTAAAAAATACTTTAAGATACGCATATATTTGATACTATATGTATAATTACGTATAATACGTATGAATTGAGTATTTCATTATAATGTTTTTTGTACAACAACAAATATTAATTTGTTCCAACAAATATTTAAACAAAATATGAGTAATACTTTATATCAGTGATATATATACTCCCTCCGTCCCGTGAAACATTTCCCCTTTCTTTTTTAATCCGTCCCACAAAACACTTCTCATTTCTATTAAAAAGTCACTTTTACCCCTTACTTTTTCATACCCTAACTATCACATCATACCTTTTTACTAATAATCTATCCATCAAATCATACTTTTACCCATCACATCAAAGGACATTTTTGGAAATTCAATACCAAAATAAACTCCCTTAAATCCTTCCTAAAAAGCAAATGTCCCATGTTTCACGGGACGGAGGGAGTATTATTTAATTATTGTCACAATATTAATATGGAGTATTATATTTTACCATTAGAGCCATAAAATTTCTTTTATTTAATTAATATTAAATATTAATTACAAAATTAATCAATTTGAAAATATATATACTATCTATTGTAACGCTCCAAAATATACCCTAAAATTTATTGAATTAAATATTCAATTAAACAAAATTTGTTTTGATTAAAATAAATTGTTGTTGGGCTTTGGGCTGAAATAAAATATATATTGATATCCAATAAACATAATTGGGATAAATCTCATACAGATAAATCCAACATGTTGATTTATTGTGTGATCTTGATTGGGAAACTGAGTACAGACCCAAATTAAGAATAAATGAAGAAATTGTTTATAATGTAATGATTTATTAAAATAAATCATGGAAATAAATAATATGAATTAAATGTGAGAACCTTTTTGAATAAAAGTCAATTAAACCAATTTTGACTCTGTTAAAGTCAAACACCCAAAAATATGATGTCGGAAAAAGTATTACAAATAAATATAAAAATTATATCGTTAGATAGAGTTTAACTGCCCGATCGCAACGGTTCAAACGGAATGCAATTCGGAGAAAGTTGGACCAAAAAGTGTACCCCGACTGGAACCAAAATTGGTCCCAATCAGGGACACTGTGCGAACGGCGCCTCCCAGCGCACTAAGCCGATTGTGAATCTTCCTACGCTCAGCAACCAGTGTCTTCTTCTTCCTCAAATCTACTATAAAAAGGGAGCTAAGAATTCTCAATTCTTCACCAAAACATATACTTCCTTGTTCTATTCCGTTGCTCAAAGTAAGGAGAACGCAGTGGTACTGTCAATTTGGTGAGAGGTCGCCGGAACAAGACGTGGTGTTCGCCGGAAGTTTCACCGGAAAATATTCAAAACCTTCATTTACCTTCGAGGTAAGCCCGTAGATATATCTAGTGACTAGAATGTTCATATAGATTGTTTCTACGTTCATAAACGATCGTTTGGTTGAGTTTTGTGTTTGACATGTTTCAAGAACCAAGAATCATAAACAATTAAATTGTTGTTAAAATTACAAATTAATGACTCTAAAATGATTTGTGAACATTGGAGAACATTTTTATATAATTAAATTGAAGTTTGGTGATTAAAAATGATAATGTTAAAACTGACCCGAGGAAGAAGATGATGAACAGTGGCCAAAAATCGATTATTTACTTACTAAAAATCGATTAGAATTTTATTCAGATCAGTGATTCGAAGTCAGTACCATTTAATCGATTATTTATGTTGTAAACATCGATTATTATGAATTAATTGATTATTTATATTGTAAAAATCGATTATTATGAATTAATTGATTATTTAAACTGTAAAAATCAATTTTTTATGAATTAATCGATTATTTATATTGTAAAAATCGATTAAAATTAATTAATTGATTCTTTAAATTGTAAAAATCGATTATTATGAATTAATGGATTATTTAAAATTATATAAATCAATTTTTATAAATTAAATGATTATTTTAAATTATTTTCCTCAATTCCAGATCCTGCTACGAAAATATTCTTGAAAATATGCTCTAAAGTCGTATTTTTGATAACAATTAATTATGAACAATACAAATATGATTTTGTATAATAAAAATGATGTTTTAGGCATATAAAACATTATGTGATGCATGACGGTAAGTTAGAGTGTTAACACTCAAAACTAGACCGCTATTTGTTATCAATTGTTATGTTGATTAATGATTATGATGAATGATTATTATGGATGATCATGAATAATGAACTAACTGATCAAAAT